AGGGGGAATGTCATTATTTCTACATAGTTGGAAGACAATCATAGTGCAATACCTATTGATCAAGATTCTGTCCATCATTGTAACAAGTTAAAAACAGGAACCTACTTTTGTACATTACATCGTACTGATCGTTTACAGGATTGAATTATGAAAACAGATATGAGATTTGTAAGGAACAGGAAAAGTGAACTGTACCATAAAAATGTCACCGTATGATCACTGGAGGATGTTTAGTATCAGTCTGATTAGGAAGTAAGCACTTGGTTCGTAGGAGTGAATTCCCGTCGCTCTTGGTAAACGATATTTTCGAGTCTTGATAGGATCCCGTACACAGATTTAGTAACGATGAAGTGAAGCTCGTTATCTTTTTATTTTCACCTTAAAACAAGATTGTTTTTATTGTGGATTTGTTCAGTCATACACTTAATGTAATTAGATAGACGCCGAACTCGGAAACAAACATTCGTATTTCTGAATCGAACTGATTTCAATGTTATGTTCGTTTTCAGCACTACAGAACAGCTGATGATTTTATTTGGATCGAACTAAATGATCTCCAACGGAAAATTCAGATAATCTTTTACGATCTAAAGACCGAATAATACACTTGACAAGCTTACAACAGCATATACAAGCTATTTAGAAGACTCTATTGACAGCACAACACAGATAAGCAGTTTTAAATGTCTACTTTCTCGAGATAACATGTCGATCTCATTTAGTTAAGATGAGAGAGCGTGACAACAACTAACAACCACTTCAGTTTTTTTATGTTACATCTCAGCGTTGCGTAATGTGTTAGCTCCATACTTACTGAGTTGGTGATGGAAACGATATTACAGAATAACTGTCTATACGATTCGGCGATTTCTACTAAACGACTAGGTACGAAAGCAATTAGCCTAATATCCCATTACATGTAATATTCAAGAGAAAAGGTAATGCTCACTATGAATTTACTTAGAAACTGATACAACTTCCCGTGTTTAAGCAGAGAAAAATCCAGCAAGTTAGTGGGAATAGACAGAATTCATGACAAACACCGAGAAGTAATCAATGCATAACGTTTTGAGAAAATAAACAAAACACCATCCAGTCACATTCATTAATTCTGAACTTGGATTTAGATAATACACTTGATTTTTCTTGTTTGTGATCCGTTTTTCCAAGTAGAAACCAAGTTTAATATAGTGTTTAACGGCTTATATGAAACGTAAAATGCTTCATGCTGTGGACTTAATGTTGGATTTTTTCAAAGTCGGTGGTTAATGTTATTATGTACTCTAGATTTGTTCACTTGCTGTCGACAGTAGACTTCATTTGCGTAAAATCTCGTCTTTATTTACAAAGATTTGACCATAAGTAAGAACTTTCAAATGTTTGTTGCTGATTGTACAAACTATCTAGAATTTTAATTATAAAGTTCCAGATAGGGGCTAAAATAACTACATTTATGTGCAATTCGAAACGGCATGGTACATCTCGAAACAACAAATCCTGGAATGAAACTGAAGCAAAGTCTATTTTGGCTGAATCAGTACTTATACCGTGCGCATTAGTACTTTTTTCCTCGTAGTGAGGTTCCTGCTACTACTCCACTTATTTTATTCCGCATGTTGGGTCATTTGGTGACCTATTGTCAAAGCATTAATTTACCATTAGAAACACTGTCGCGTGGATGCTAATTGTAGACAACATCGAGATTCGGCGTTCTTACGGGGCAGTGAGTGCACTTTGTTTTTGTTTGTAAAGTGACTTCATATTTTACTTCGCGATTTAAAAAAATCCGGTAACTGCCACCAATGAGCGAAGGTTGTTAAATAGGCTCAATGTTAGAAAGCAGAAGTTCATTATCGTAATTGTTAGCTAGAATTGACTGACATGCAGAGATATCGAAGACAATAAAAAAACAATGGAGTACTGAGTATTTACATAATGAAATTGAATTACACCAATGACTACTTGCATTCCAAATAGTCTCTCTTCACTTTGTCAAGTTTTTCCGTAGTTTTTGCATCAACAGCTATTTCTCTAAGACTGGATTTAGCACAGTGCTCATCGCGTTCACCTTCCTCACAAATAAGTTGATCTACTACTTGCTCGACGCAAAACAATAATTCTTTGTTTGTAACTGTTTCATCAGTTTCAGGACACTGTGGTTGTTCTTCAGCTTTTGTTAAATAATTGTGCAACTCACGTAAAACAAAATAAACTCCATTAGATCGAAGAAATGTTCGTCCGTAACTGGTGGCGCAAAACTAGATTAACACTTTAAAGGCAAAATAGACAATATTACCTGCAATAATGTTTGGCAAATTGTAAGATACAACTCAGTGGAAAACAAACGAGAGAATTGGGGGTTCCCAGTTATAATCTGCACAGATTTAGGCAACACAGCACGATCATCGTCGTCAATAGAATCCTCTGGACCACAAAGTGGAACTAAAAATGCACCAAGCAAGCCAACTTTGTCGTCAAAAAGTTCACAATGAAGTTCTGGAAAAACAAATTTAGAGAAACGTTAAATCAATACAATTTACCGTCTTCAAATGAGCAGTTTTTGATTATACCAGCTATGAGAATTTTCTTCGGAGTAGAGGAAATTTCTAAAAATAAACCAACCAGCTTTTGCACTAGTTCTGAGGAGCATATGGTGTGGCGTACTGATGTAAGGCTACTTAGATTAAGTAATATCTTCAATTACCAGAGTCAATAAATAGAATTGACTTACTGGAAGAAACTTCTTGATGGAAGCATCTGAACTGAGAATCAATTTAACATGTTGGTTATCAAAATGTTGACTGAAATGACCCAACCAAACGGGATCTCTAGTCAAATTTGAAATCAAATCAATAACTAGAGGCGCCAAATCAGCATGATTTCTTGAATTATCCAGAGCAAGAGTAGTCAGAATTCGAGTGAATTCTTCAGGTTTTTCCTGATTTGACAACAGGGTTGTTAAAAGGTGTATTCCTTGAGTAGATGAGCATATGTTAATCAAACATTTGACAGACAATATGAATTCTTCTGTCAGTGCTAAAGAACAGAAATTATAAGGTTGAATTTAGAGGAATACATTACCCAAACAAAGATTATAAGATAAGAGACAATGGAAAATCGATGGAGGAGAACAAAACATGGGATCCATATAAAAGCCGTTCAAAACGAAAATTTAGAACTAAATAGAGTGGAAAATGTAGTGAAATCTCATAGACAAGGGAAATGCTGGGCAGAATTAGGATACTCAGATGACCTCTCTGTTTAAATTGGTATTTTTATATTTTGATGACACCGATAAATAGAGGGCGGCACAGAACGTGGGTGCAGTTAAGACGTTTAAAGAAATCTTAGTAAACCAGTTTAACATTCAGAGAATGCTAAATAATGTCTACGAGAGCATTTTGGTGAAGACTGATCAGCATCTAATGAATAATGATGAGATTCGTCGAGCCACAATGAGATTACGCGTAGGGACTACTTAACAATCGAAATGAATGCATACAGATGAAGTAGCGACTAAAAGCTTAATTACTCTTCAGGCGATATATAGATCTTTTGTTCGTTTTACCATCAAGAAACTAATCACATGTTGCACTAAATTTTTCTGTCTGAACTACAGTATTGGATAAAATCCGAGTCTCCGTAAGAAAAAAACAGACCCTAAGGCTAACACATGGTAAGAGTACAGTTGTGCATGACGTTTTACTTTTGTTATAATTAAGACTAAAGATGACCAAACCACAGTTAATTTAGGAACATTGTGCACTTTGTATAGTTTAGTTTTTAGTCTTTGAAAACAGGATTAACATAGATACCTCAAAGAATTTTACAAGCCCTGCAATAATTACTTGTCAGGTTATCATTCTACCAAAATAGTAATACATGAAATTAATTGTCTTAAACCATTTCAGCTTATTTAATAATAACATTTATAAGGCTGAATCAACTGAAACCTTTTATTCTCAAGGCTATCACGGTTTCCCCACATTGGGCTCTTATTCGAACAACTGGCAATATCCAAAGTGGCAACGTCAGACACAAAACAGAAACGTGCTGATAAAGGCTGCTGAAATAACAGAATTGGAAAGACTGGCATGTCTTTTGGGCACACACGATCTTCTACCAGAAATCGCACACAACAGCGTAATTTGATGTACATTAACAGGACATAATCTTCATATTGCAACTGAAGTAAACCTGCAAGCAGCGCTATTTACGGTTTAAGCTTGAGTGTGAATACATCACAATGGTTTAAGAAGGGAGGAATATGTTTTGATGAATCTTCTCAAGACAAACTGAGGAGAGTAGAAATAAGTTAGGGTTTCGCTCAATCACTAATCCGCGATGAACGGAACGTGCATCGATTCGTAATCTCCATACTTTGGGTAATATTTCATCAATTTCAGGCAAGCAGCAATAGTAACCTTTACGGCAACGACTAAAAATGTCCCAAATTTATTTATCATATGAATCGATAAAAACAAAATACGAACCTTTTGACAAATCTGACGAATTAACTAGTTTTACGACTTGCTTTAAGTAGTGCTCAAGAAATTCATCTTCGAAATCGGTTTTAGCTGCAGTAACTTGCAGCAAAGCATTTAATTGACAAATCTGGGACATGGTAGCGCAGCTAACTATTTTGCCACATCCGTCATTAAATGTTCCACGGACAAAGTCTTAAAGCTTTTTTACGAAAATAACGATCGCGAGGAGTCCCACTAATTTTTTTTGCAGTCGGATACCTCGTCCAAATTGAAAACAGTATTACTGTTCCCGAACGATCGATAAGATGGCGTGGAAGTGCCTCAGTATTTTTTGACATGATTACAGTTGGCGTTCATGATTTAGGAAACCATACGAATAGACTCTAACGTAACCTCAATCATGAGAATCTACCCATCATACAATATCTTTTTCATGAACTGGTATAAACAAATTGATAACCTCGCCCTCGATTCTTGTTCCGACGGTACGTTTCCAAGTATTTGTTAGTGTCCAGTGGATGTTAGTTTAGCCACTCACTACACTAGTTATAGTGAGTTAAAATTTTCTGAGGAATTCGTATTTCCCGTGTTTCTCGCAATTGCACTAGTCTCAGAAGAGTAGGGTTTTGGGATGCCAGCAGCTGGAGATCAGTTAGTTACAATTTGGGTAATAATGAGGAAAAAATCCAAATACCAATAAGAATAGGAAAATATTAGGACTACGTGAATAATTTAATAAGTTAATTTATTGGTGGTGGAGATTATTTTAGAGGACAGAAGTGTAAGCGGAGAAGATTTAGAGATAATAGGCTAGATAGAGTATGGTAATGATCTGGATAAATGACAATGGTGGCAACTAGCACGTTTCGAGGCCTGTATCAAGCACAGCTGATGCAAGAGGGATATAGTAATCCGTATGTGAGTACGTGTTTATCAAATCTCGTCTTGAAGTTATCCACTGAGGCTTCTGTGCTCATTCCTTCTGAGAAATCACATCAATTTAGAACAAATCTTATTACGAAACATTTAAATCAACATGAGTTTTTTCATTTGATGTGCGATTGTTCGAGGGTAACTTGGAGTTGCCGGTTGATGATGTTTTGACGGAAATTTCTATGTAGTTTCTGCTGCTTTCCGAGCTACCTTTGGGTATTAGACCGAGACGTTTTGCAGCTAATTTCAATTAAGGACGCAAGTTGTTTTTGTCACGTGGAATAGAAGGTTCATGACGTGACATTTTTACTGATTAAGTTTTATCCCGTCGAACACTGCCAGCTCATATGCACTCTACTTATCTTGGTGCGTGATCTTTTATTCTCTTGGCAGTTTCTGAGCCAACATAGAAGTGGATCAGTGAAACTTATTTTCGAATCCTACGATATTAGGAGAACGTGGGGAACCATGATGAAGGCTTTCTTAAAATCAAAGAACATTATATGAACCGATATATCTTGATCCCACAGTTTCCAGACTATAGAAGGAGTACTGTCACATGCTGGTGAGCTCACTGAGCGCTGGGATTTCAGTTTTTTCAGTATTAAGTAAGGATTAAGTTGGATCTTTCTAAGACCATGAGGTAGCACTTGACTTGAGTACTACTCCGAGGTTGCGTGTATGTAGCTCAACTTTTCTGTGAAATCAGGATTAAAAATCTCAAAAAAATCAAATTTGTCAAGACATTCGCTAATTAGTCTTCTGAAAGTACAAATAACTTGGTTCGTAGGTTTTCTTTGTCTTGAACTAAAAGTAGTATTATAGGCTTATCTATCTTTTTGCCACAGTCTTCATCTGGCAGTGTCTTCTACCGCTTCACACATTTGTGTTGCGTCTGTTTCTCAGTGCTAAGTGAGAAATACGATCAAAATCATTCAGATACTTTCCAATGATGTCAGGCCCTCATTCTCGCCAGTAGAAGGCATCCTATGCTTGGCTTAACCTAAGACTGACTTTTCAGGTATGTGATTTGAATGAGGCACGCTGTGTAAGATACCATCCTCTCACTGTCCTCGGTAATCATCCACCGTTAGTCCTCACCACTTTCATGGCCATGAGGCGTGTAGGAGATAATCTTATATGGAAATATGGTCTGCCGCATTTGAACAAATGTAGGAAGCGTTCTCGTCCTTCCAAGTTATTACATTTGTGACCATGTTAAAAACGTTTGCGCTATGGTCGCTAATTTTCATTAGCGTGAAAATATGGACGACCTTGGCTAGGAACCTTCATTTGTAGGGCTTTCTATCCTTATTCCATCTAGTGGCGTCTTTGATCAATCACGGAATTCTGGTGGCTGTGATGAGTCACTTTTTAGCCAACCTGTGGTAGTTTTACTGTGCTTCTAAGTTTTAACGACGCGGTACTGAAATCTGTACATATATTGTTGCCGCTTTCCTCACTCGCTGCTCTTTACTATTAACAGTCACTGGGGAACTTACAACAACTGGTGATTTCGTTGGCGCAGTAGCTTGCATTGCGGTTGCTTTAGTCACCTGTCAGTCTATTGTTCCGCTAATTCTGTAAACCGGTGGTAATTGGCAGGTTGATTTCTTTTGAACGTTTTCCTTCGCTGGTGTTAATCTTGAAGGCTGATTCTGCAATGTGAGTAAACATACAAGGACCAAGAACAAGAGTGAACTCATAGTACAGTCCCGGTAATGCAGTACCAGAGATTAAATCCATTTACTGTAAAATTTGTATTTAAATACAGAGTCGCCAGTATTATCTGGCAACAAGCAGGCTATAAAGTTATCTCGCATCATGTTATTGAGGAGATCTTAGTTTTATCTTGAAACCGTGCTGATACTTTCCATACCAGGACGAAACGGAAGGTTCAGTGCATCTAGGTTTCCAATGTTGGTTTAACAATGATTCATTAATGGTTTCAAGGTAAGATACAGCTATCATTATTGTGTCGTTTCTGAACAGCACACTGTGTCTCTGGAGTCTTGAGACGCCTTTTTCTCCCACTTCTCTTTTGTTTACAGGTCTAACTAGGGTTGAAAGCTTGGATGAATAACATCTCGTTTTCTTTGCTAAAGGCACAATGGAGGTTGGGTCGTGTTGAGCTTCTTCACAAGATTGTGTCGAGAAATAAGGATTTTTTACTCATTACTAACTCTGAAGTTTAGACATTTGCTAGTCTCCCTACACTTCATAGTGTAAGAACTGGCGGCAACAATATTACTGAGCATATTACTCAGAAGTTTAAAAAGTACATTGTGAGATCATTTGAGGGCTAAAAAGCTCAAGATATGTATGTTGATGGGAGACAGTAATAATAATTAAATGAGTGATTATATACTGCGCAAGAATAAATCTTAAGAGACACTAAAAATTGAGACTTTAGCTCTGACCGTCCTAGCAAGCATCTTCGTATGGACCCAGCAACCGTTCTGCAAGTTCTGTGTTTGTACGTAAATGAATGTGGTTATGCTGCTGTTAAAGCAACTTGGAACATAGCAGTTGATCGAGACAGCTTGGCCTTGCTTACAGTGTTGCAACTATGATGCAATTGCGTTTGGCTGACTTAATTTTGACTGCAGATTGGAGAAAGAAGTCCAGGCTTCAATCCTAAGAAGTGTTGAAATATCCAAGTCTGGTTGCGAAAACTGCATTGTTTTCCGCTAGTGATGAGAGATCAGCGATGTCTCGTCTGACTCAAAGAGTGGGCTGATAAGTTTACGAAAAGCCTAATAAAATTACATAGTTTCCTTGTTCCAATATCCTGTTGTTGTGACATATTTTCACTTGAACTCATTGCCTCTAAGAGAATTTATTGAGGCTAGAATCTTTTACTGTTTGATTGATCCGTGTAACGCATTAGAAGAATCGAGATGTAGAAAGTATTGGAGATGTAAGAATAATAAATTTACAATCAATAACTGCGTTCTTATTTAGTGAACAACTAATTAGTGGTAAAAAGTAGCGAGATTAGTTGTTCATAGAGAACATTTCTCTGTACAATTGGGCACGTAAGAGGTCTATAGTAGTGGGACATGTGAAGTAAATAGTTGTACAGTTAATTTAAACGACTATAGAAAGACTTAAACGCGGTTCATATAGTTTTACTGACGAATTTATCCTCGAGCATATTTGCACGTGGAGTAAGGTTGGTGGTTGTCTGGCTGGCGGAGATTTCAGCGCGTCACATATTAACTGAGTTGAGCTTACAGCTTCAGGAAAATGTCTAGATGGCAATTTTTTGGCAATTAATACTCAATGCATACCCCTTCAACGTATCATGAAGCCGACACATATTGATTTAGAACATGAAAGATCATTGGTGGAACTTGTTGCTACATACCGCTGTGTGCTATGGACATTAACTTGATTCTCCATCTCATGAGCATGAAACCACGTTATATTGTGCACTAAGTCTCTAAAGCCATAAACAGTGTGTATCTAACTCGCCCTAACCCATGACGTAATTTGTTTGTATGTAAAACGATTTAATGTCATTTTGTGAAGAATAATGCAGTTAAGTAATTATTTCAGTGATTCGGATTGTATCAGATAGCATCTATAGGAAATTGTTAATTTGAAAGATAACCTGTATGAAGCCTTTGGTAAGAGTAGTAATATCACAGTGGTAGTACGATAAACGCATTGACAGTCATACGGTCATTGTGTCAAATCATAAAGTGAATCGACGCCTTCTTCTGTTTGTAGGTGTTACATTTTAGTTATATCTTTATTTAGCAGACTAACTTAAAGTACAGAAGTATAACCATGGATGAAAACAATCGTGATTATGTCCTTGGAAGTTACTGATCCCTAAGTAATCAGGTTTTAAAACTGGTGATTGTAGCTATTATTCATTTGGGTCGTGTTGGGGCAGATGCAACAATGTAGTTTTCAGTTTGTAGGAGACTCACTGTATAAAGTGATGATTCGCGAGAAAGATTACACCGCCAGACCACCAGTTGAACTGAACAGGTTGTGCATTGTTGAGTATTTAAAAGATCAAATGGTTTGCATCTTTTTAGCTACATAATAAACATGCTAAATCAACATTTTATTATGGGTTATATGGTTTAGTTGAGAGTTGTGAAGTGAAAATGGCTCCTCATTCATTGCTAATTTTAACGGTCAGCTGTATGGCTTATTTAAATAATATACACAAAGCACAACATTGAG